TCCGGTACCGAATTTCGTCAATACTGTCCACATTTCGATATCTACATAAGCCAAACTTGGCACACATATTCTAGACACAAATTTGAAGAAGTTATTACCAAGACAATTTCACTTCAGTATCACGATCACAAGGAAGTAGGTCTGGGTACAGGGTATTACACTGTCGGGCTTGCTCGACTGTGGCGTTCTCTCTTGTTCAGTTAGCGAGCAGTCAAAATTTCATAATTGCTTGCATCATTCGATCGGAGCAATGATCAAGTGGTAAGTGATCCGTATTATATAGGTGTGGAGCACGTGCTGTCGATGCCACTGATTTGCGTCAAGTTTTATTGATTCCCTCTAGCTGGCCAAAAGTCAGTTTACATAAGGCTGAACGTTCGCATTTTTTATGATCAGCTAGGCATTTAATCGCAATAAGTCGTTGATTGGCACCCTCACACTTATCAATTAAATTGTGAGTCAATTTCATTTCTAAATCCATTGGTCATCATCACACGTTCGGCTGAGCAATGCCAACGACCCCGTATCCAAACCATGACAAACAACCAAAAACCACAAGAAACATGCCACAAGGTTTTCCAAACAGTTTTCCATGCGAGATCACGCTCAGATCAAACAGACAGTAAACATATCCAATTCGAAGATAAAGCAAATACGAAAAAACTTTGTTGGTCAAAAAGCCAAACTGCAAATTAAATTGTTCAATTTATTAAACAATGTCGATAGCGCAGAGTCAAAGGCCAACACACACACACACACACAGAGACACCATAAAACCCTCTGGGCAGTGGCTGTCAACAGCTGCTGTCTGTGGACTCCACCACAGTCCCCAGAGTCGACCCAAGCTAGGCCGGGGCTGCCAGATCGTTCGCGTGTGGCCATTAACGGGACAATAAGCTGCACTTTTTATGTTTGTTTTTGGCATGTGTGTTTGTTTGGCTTCAAGTTTCGTGGTAGGTCGCTGGCAATTAAAAAGTTGGGCCACCCACGCGAACGATTAGTTGGATGCGCTTTCCGAGTTTTGCCAACTGGTTATTAGTGGCAATTGGCGTCGCTGATATTATGGCTTATGCCTAAAAATTGATTGATTTCTACGCGTAGTACGTAGTGAGATGACTTTTGAATAGCATTGTGTAGATTTATACTGATCCTTACTTGTTTAATGCTCAAATGTATTAAATACATAAACCCATAAAACCCTAAAAGTCCTAGAAATGCTTTCTTAATCGTAGTTTCTGCTTCCTGTCCACGGACCTTCGTTCGTACAGAAAACAGAAAGCCCGAAAGTGAACAAAAAAATAAAATAAACTCTGGGTGGCTAAGGATTTGAAAGTGGGGTAAAAGAGGAACATTTCAAATTTTAGAGGTTCAAATAGTATAAGAGCATTATATAGTCTTAAAACAGGCTCTTATAGTCTCGAAGATATACGTGTTTATACAGAGGGACAGATAGACATACATGACTAAAGCGACTCATCTTGTTATGCTGATCAACAATTTATATACTTTGTAAGGACTGCCACTCCTCCTTCTGCCTGTTACACACAAATCTAATATACTGTTAGTTACAAAGCTAGACACGTGTTACTAATGCAGCCATGGAGCATCACTACTGCTAAACTAAAGAAATATATCATGGTAGAGTAGAGTTGGGACCTACCAGTAGGCATTTAGGAGATATCGTAATGAGAAATTACTATAACTAGCAGTTATTGTTATTATGTATTCAACTATACAAACAGAAATAAAGTTCAGCAAACTGAAGCACTTCCATGCGAACAGCGAAACCGATTTTCAAATATTTGCTCTATAAGAAGTAGGACGATGCCAGTCAGCATTATTCACAATATCTCGATTATGTTGTTAGAAAACTAACAAAAATAATTATGTATGCAAGATATAAGGTTTCAATGATAAATAAGTCAAAATAAACAAATAACAATCATCGGCAGAAAATGTTATTCATATGTATAAATGACAGAATTTTATATAAGGTTAATTTAGCGTTAAAAACTAAATACTATATTAATATGCTTAAGAACAATATTATGTTAAATAATTTTTTTATTTCAAGTTAAACAATTATAAATAAGTATTAACATTTTGTATATTAGAAAAAAAATTTACTAAATATATATTATTATTCTATTTGAAAGGTGCGGGAAATAATTAACTAGGACAAAGATTTCACACATTATACATGGTGCGCCATCTTTTATGTCGGTGTGTAGATATTGAATGTCTTTGTCATTAGTGAACTATTGACTTGAGTAGACCAGTGTTGAAAACCTCAGTTCAAGAAAGTGTACAAATTAAATAAAAATATCTCATACTTGAAAATCGGTTGTTTATTTTCAAAGATATTCAGTGTTTACATACCGACATAAAAGATGGCGCACCCTGTATTGTCCACAAAATGCAATTCCTCGCTTTCTCTCTTCCTCCTATATTTTGATGAATTCAACGCCAGGTCGAATAACGAAGATGTTGAACAACTATGTTAGTTTTAACATATAAACAATAAATTTGTCCTAGTTAATTATTTCGTTTGAACATATTTTTGTATTATACTTGTATTTTCTTCAGTTTTAATTGCTTTATTTAACTATTGATAATATTATTAAGTTTAAACATTAATTTGTTTTTTGAAAATATATATACTATGAAACGTAGTGTCATAGTTAATTTCGCGCACCTTATGTGGTATTTGTATGTTTTTAAATATTTTGCCGTATACAAGTATATTGGAATTGAAAATTATCTTTAAAGATAGTGCATATGCAAGCATAATAATATGTTATCATGTCGTCTGGTCAAGCAGACAAAGTATATAAATAACCCTTCACGATTCCGCCTTTCGAAATAAAAAACAAATAACTCACAGCCTATTATTTCACAACTATTCAGTTCACCCCAACTATAAGTAGTGGCTTTGCCGCTTTCAGACGTTGTTAACAATTACTCATCACTTTCTGGCCCGCCATATCAATCATAATGACACACAGTTCTGTTACCAAGCGTTTAGCATATAGGCCATTTTCATAAACTCGCCCGAAATCGCCACTAATTGGCGCCATTCCTCCATTTATCTGTGTGACGTCACGAGAATGTTGCGATTTAATTGCTGACCACGATTAGATTGTTACAGCTTGCAAAAGGTGACTATTGTTTTTTTATTTTTATTTGGCGTTGGCAACGGAAAGTCGAGTGTTTTTCATTTGCAAAACATGTACCTGTACGTATAAATGTCGGTACATACGAGTATAGTTGAATCGATCCAACGACCAGCACTCGAGTCGGTGCACTTTTCGAGTTATTTTTGTAGTAACTAATCATGTTAATGTTATGTATAGGAATGTTATAGCAATTCTAGTGATGACGGGTCCACTTCACAGTTAGACAACCAAAGGCGTACACGTTTTGAAGTCGAAAAAATGTGATCGCAAGTGGTTAAGTAATAATGCTGAACCACGCTTGGCCATGGGGTCTGGAATGTAGTAATGGGGGCACTGGCAGACGCCCTTGTGCGGAATACCCCGGATTTACTTATCACTGGCATTTTAAGCTATTGCCTCTTGGTGCTGGGCACTGCATTTGTAATAGGCTGAAGTCCAATGTGGTGGTGTGTGAAACATAGTCTTTATCTCTAAGCTCGAAATTGCAATGATTTCTTTAAAAAATTAATACAGTTGCGTTCCAGTGACATGCAAAAAAGGTTCAAGTGGTCATTGGTCAGTGGCTTTACAATGAGAATGCTTTGATTTCCAAAAATTGGATTGGTTATAAGTGGATTCCATGTAGAAAGCTAAGGGATAAATTCCGAAAAGTTTGATCAACATAAAGCCGTCGGAAGTATTTAAAACTCACTAAAAAAGAAGGAGTACGCGTCGGCAGCATTTCTCGACCTTGAGCGAGCCTTATCCGACAATCACTTACTGGCTAAGTAACAAGCTTAGCAGGCGAGTTATTAACTCACTTAGGATCCATAAAAATAAAAACAATTAGAAGTACTCCCCAAGGTGAAGTGATATCGACACTACTAGGGAATCTGGTCCTCAACAAGGTTTTGATTATATTCTTGCCCAGAATCAGCAAATATCTGAAGGCCACTATTTACACCATCCCAAAGTTGGCCTAGCAGAACACTCTTGGAGCAAACCCAGACAAGTCCGAGCTGTTCAGCCCACTCAACTATAAACACCAATCTCTGTGGAAAACGCAGCTATACTATCAAAATATCTTGGTGCAATTCCTGAAGAATGCAAAAAGTACTAGATTCTTACTTACATAGCAGTAGTGATACCGATAATAACCTTGGGTATTGATTCAATGGGAAGTGATCAAAAGGAAATCCAACTTCCTTAGTGATTGTGTTTTCATTCCGGCTCTGGAACCAATTGGCATATTCTTTATATACATAGCAACCTAAAGGAAGTATACTGGGTGGCATGACAGCTTTAAGAAAATGTTCCCAGAGAGATAGAGAGAGAGAGAGAGAGGGAGAGAGAGAGAGAGAGAGAGAGAGAGATAGAATGCGCTAGTCTGCTACATACTAGCTAGACACTAGACACAGCTTTATAGCTACCATACAACCCTAAGCGATATCTGAATTTCTAGCATTTCAGCAGGAACAGAACTCGGAACAGGATTGATTTTTAATGGGCACTGCATCATAGGTCGAGTAGCTGACAGTTATTTTGTACTACTGGTACTAGATTAACCAAGCTAATTATAGTAATTATTAGTTTTAAATTTTTTAGAGTTATCTTGGACTTGGATGTGCTCCTCGTTACGGCCATGGGTTAAAAAGTTTTAATAAATTCGGCTGCCATAAAAACGAAAGAAGATCATGAGGACAGCTGAAAACCTATTTGCAAATATTTTAAAACTATGGATAGCATCCGATCCTTGAGAATTAGATAATTGGGGATGTGCTGTTCCTTTTCGGCCAATACTGTATTCCTTTTTGTCAATAAATATTAATATGTACTCGTTCATAGTATGTGGGGAGTATTGCGCTTACATTTTAATTAATTTCTTCATGTTGTGGCTTACACAGATAGAGTTTTATATCGTTTTTTTACTTTATAGTTGTAATATTAATTAATGGCCGATTATCAATATTGGCTGTTTCTTTATATGCATATGTATGTATGTATATTTATATATGTGTGTATATGTAGGTATATACAGACATATATGTATATACATGCATAATCAAATACACTGATCACTTATGTATGCCAATGAACCGACTCTGAAGCGAACGTTGCGCCACTGAGAGCGGTAGGGACACCAAGGGATCCGCGGATTGTTGGAATATCTGGCGCGGCTGTACTGCCTTCTGGTAGGCGCATTTTAAGGAATGCATTATGTCACGTGTTTTATCACCTACATCATATCGCCTGGGGTTGATTAAATTCCTTAAAATTGTGTTGTTTTGAATATTCACGCCTCGGGTGGTTAGCACCAATTCAGACTTTGGAATGCTCGGCGTTTTCAACTGGTTAGCAAAAGGTCTTAATAGCTGGCCGCCCTCTTCTGTTTGAGCCTCAGTTACCGCCACTATGTGCAGCTTTTCCTTCTGACTATCTTCTTCTTCTGCCTTCACTCGCTCCCACTCCTTCACATGACCCTTCACCTCACCATTCTTGACAAATGAGCCCCTCGATGGGGCTGGGCGATATTCGCAATCACAAGAAGTAGTCAGAATTCTCTGCGTTTTTGCAAATACACTTGAAGCTGGATTTTTTCGCTGTTCCTTACAGGCCAGCCATTCGGCGTAGCATTTTTCGGATAACTGCTTCCGTATTTTGTCTTCTTCAGCACGGCGTGCAAGCTCGATGCTTTCTTTATGCGCCCGTTGAGCAGCAAGTTTGCTATTAATGTTTCCAATCTTACTACAAGTTTAAAAATTAATTTTCACTTACTTCTTCGCCATTAGCCATTCGGAAAAAGACATTCGATTCGGTAAGCGACTTAGAAATCTTCCACCAACAAGGCTGACTCCACTCCGCCAAAAATGTTCTGGCGTAGAATCTCGCACACCGTAAGATTCTAAATTTCGATTTATATTATAAGGAATGTTCGAGTACCATTTATTCTTCAGCACAGAAGGTCTAGCCCCTTTATTTCCAACCATGTCCCTCCCATGGCAGCGCGAGCTCGGATAGTTATTGTGGTGTTCTATGTTATTTGGCCCCACAAATGTTTGGTGTGGATCATGCTCCAATAACCTAGCTACATCAACTTTCTCCGCACCTGCAGACAACCTGTTTCCTATGTCATCGGGAGCACCGTCTGAACATTGGCTTCTGAGGGGGACATTGTCTAAACAAATGAATGTTTAAGCGTGACCACTCACCCCCACTTGTTTCCAAAACATGTTCTGATATTTTTATTTGAACGAAGGCATTCAGTTATTTCCATCATATTCGCTTCAATGCTGGTGTTGGAGTCCTATTGGGATAGAAAGGTGCCCACTCAATCAGTTGAATGTGCCATATATTAGTTGAAAACTAAACATTTGAAATTTTAAGGAAAATTTGACCGAAATTTAATTGTTTACTGTCGTCTTGACGTAATATTTCAAACTAATCTTAAACTGTTCTGCTGTTTAAAGCTGTTGTCTTTTAGTTTTCCTTTAAACATCTCGACAATGTTAGTCATGATGCTATAAAAGAAGTTCATTTTTACAAAATGTCGCTGGCAAATGGGAGCACTCCTCTAATTCCAATACCACAACCGGTTAGTCAAGGACGTACGCTGGGGGGTCCCGTTGCTCACCCTAGATAGATTTGGCAATTTCATGTATTGAAACCATATTATTTCAAAAACTCCTAAAAGTGGGCAACAGTTTTCGGAAAATTTGCAGTGAATGAAAGAGCTTGATATATCATGTTATACTGGTCTTCTAGGCTACTATTTCCATACCAAGCACCTCATAAAGTCGCCTGCAATTAATAATCTCTTCACATTGTTTGGATAGTATATCCGTTTCCTTAACATCTGCACCGAACCGCACACCCGGTCACATGTCACCTAATATAGCCATGACATTAATGAGCTTACAAGAAATGCGCCGATCTAATTGCCACGGGAATTAGAAAGCCAATCGTCCAAGTACTTGTCACACCGCGTCACCATTTAAGCAACCAATCAACCAAGAAGCGACCGAGTAGCAATATCGCCAGACGTTAAGCATCAGTTGGTCTGACAATAGAGCCCATTATAGAGGATTACAAGGCCGTCAACAAAAGCACACAAATCGCCATTGTCCTCACCGAAACAATAGACGCATGTTCGTCGATGAATTTCAATCGATTGGCAGCTGCTCCGCTCAGTTCTGCTCCGCCCGCTTCCTGCTTGGTCATTGTCAATCAATGTTCAATCAAATCTGAACATTTTTGGCAACTTCCGTTCCGAGCGCCACCCACATGACACACTTGGCTGGGGAAACGGAAGTCGCATGCGGGTCCGAGTGCTTTCCCCATTACCTCGCCCTCTTTATTGTGACCTTAATCGCTTTAAAGTGTGTCAAATGAATGAGTTGTGTCTTCAAGCGACAGTTTAGGGGTTGCTTACCTACCCTTAGTAGTCGCTGTGCTCAGTGTGGGTGTAAACCGTTTTTATGGAAGTCCTCAACTATTGCAATTTTCACGATTGTCACAATTAATTGTTAACGCTGTTTTCTTAATGGTGGGTGTGTCTCAATAGTAATGCGAAAAGAAATAAACTCAAAACAGCTCCAAGAAGTTATTCCCCTCTTCATTATTGTGAAAACGAACTTTTATCGGTTTCAGTGGCCATAACTGTAATTATGTCTACTGGAGGAATTCACATCATAATGGGAGATATGGACTCCCTTTATATCTAATATTTATATCACTTAACGGATTTGTTTATAAGTATTTCAATAGCCAACACTTGAAGATCATAGTAATATGGTACAAATATGATAACTATCTATCAATACTCCCCTCCTATATTTTGAATGCCTGCTTATAAAATTGTAAGACCTGACAGACCACACATAGTGCATTTATGCCAAGAAAGGAAGCAATAAAACATTCTTTGGATTAAAAACATTTGTATTTATAAATACATTGCTTCAAATTGAAAATGTACTTTTCACGACGTTTTTGCATCAGTTTATGGTAGTGGATGAAGAGAGTGGACAGTTAGGTATGGAATAAGTCAGCAACTGATACATTTGGTATTACACTCACAATTATAATGGCGGTTAATGATCACGAAGAAAGAAAGGGGTGCTAGAGCCGAGTGGGCTTAACTCTTAAATACCCTGTACCCACTCTCACAAAAAAAAAAAACTAACATATTTTAAAAATGATTTTAAACAGATAAAATTAAAAAAATGTTCAATACTTGCGTAGAAAAAGCTGCGTACGCCCTTGCCTATCATCAGTTAGTGCTTCAGAATAAAAACAAGAAAGGAATGCTAAAGTCGAGCGGGCTGAACTCTTAAATAAAAAAAATTTAAAAATGTAATAAATATAATTAATTAAATTGAATATAAAATATTCAACACATGCATACATACCTAATTGACCTTTCATGATGAAACTTGGCATACAATCGCCTACTGGATGTGAGTTGGAAATTCCAAGAATTACGGGAGTTATGGAAAATCACTAATAGTGGGGAGTGGGGGTGTATCGGAAAAAATTAATAAACTTGAACTGCCTAGGGCTTAGGGGAACCTGGATACCAATTTTGGTAATTCTAGCTCTTGTAACTTCTGAGCTCCTTGCTTTCATACAGACATTCGCAAAAACTTGTAGACCCGTTTACCCTTTGAGTAGAGGGAATAAAAATGAACATTATATAATGTATATAATGCAAAAGACAGAAGGGTAGACCGCATTTGGTTCTTCTATTAAAAGCTCTATAAGTTTTAACCATTAAGCATTCATAAGCATATTTGGAATGAGCATAGGTTTTATTATTAAATGGATAAAGTGCTTCTTCTTTAATGACCTTTTGAATTAGTAAACTAAAACTTATCGTTTAGCTATAGTTTCTTTTATTGTAGTTTTCTGCACAGACAGCGTAATCACCGTGAGTATTTAATAGAGAAAACAAATATAAGAAGAATTTTTCAAATTACCAACTGCTGTTTTAAAATAACATTTTATTATACTGTAAAACTGCTTTAACACATCATACAACATCTTCGAACTCGAACTTATTTGTTTGCTATCATTGACATAATGCTTGTGCTTAACATAAGCTGCACTGTTGGTTGAGCTGTTAACAGGCAGCTATTGAACGCTATGAACGTGCATGTAACACATACCGTTTTTGCTTCTTATAAATAAAAGCCAGGTTTAACAAAACAAAAACAGCTAAATTTACAACGCGGTCCATAGTGGTTAAACGATTGCCGTTTGTTTAAACTATGCATTATTTATTCTTACAACATGTTTGTTTCCATTGCCGTCGTATTGGCAACAAGTTGTATGGTTATGCCAGATACCAGTGCTCACAACAAAACCGAACCTCTGTCCAACATGCTCGAACTGTAAAAACGTCTAATGTGACTGAATCACCGCACTGCGACCAAACATGTTCAGATTTATTGTGCGAATTCAACTCTATTGCCAATTGTAGCAAACACATTTGCATTTACCGCACCAGCTTGTATGTATGTATAAACAAATAGGGTTTAATTATTTGTAATTTTTACCCTAAATAATATTTATATAAAAAACAAAATTAAAGTATAAATAAAAAATAATATAATAACATAATATACATATAATATTATGAAAGTATATAAGAACAACTAAGTAATAAAAATGAAATAAGAAATGCTTTCCAACTTATTGTAATAATACATAATATGTCTGGACCATCACCCAATATACATACATAGTTGCAAGTTCAGTTTGTGCTCAATTCAATATTATTTGCTACTCCATTTATCATTACTATAAAATAATTCATTTCTACATTAAATACTGTATGAAACATCAACAAAATTTGCAACATCTTTTGATACGAAAGTTATTTAAATGTGTCCCTTGAGTCCAACACTCGTATATGAAGAAACAAGAAAAAGGGGTTTTAATTTATACTAAATAATATTTCGAAGGGTTAACTGATTTACATAATATTATGAATATATTGAAAAATGTAAAGAATACCTAATGAAGAAGTACAGTTGGGATAGATCTAAGTTGATATATTTACTTAAATATGTAAGTATATATGATAATATAATAGGATATATAGATGTACTATATTTTTCAAAACATTATATAATCGGACGCTCGGAAATCGAAAAAGTCCAGAACTGGCGGGAAAATAGCTGCATTGGCAGCACTGGTCTGCTGTTGAAAAGGAAGAAAAACAAAACGCACAACGCGCAACACAGCACACCACGGCACCAGCACACAACACACACAGCAGAAAAAATGTCGCACGTTTCGTTTCGGTTAGTCTCGATAATTCAATCGCACTGCAAAGACGTTCATCGCTGACTGTCTCCGCCTCTGAGCTGTTTCGTTCGTGATTAGAGGTTATTGTTGTATGCGTGTTGTTTTCTTAACTTGACGTTTTAACCGTTAAAGTCAAAAGCGCGCGCTAGGTGGCAACCCCGCTTACACCGACGGTGTGTGTGCAATTACGAGCTGCTGATTAAAGCGAGGCACTGCAATTATTCATCCGGAATTATTTATTCTACGTGCAAAAACAAAAAAACCTTGTGAAACGGAAGTGCAGAAACGAGCATCATTCATGTTGTTATCGGTATTGGCATTGACAAGTTTGGTGGGCAGTGGCGGCAATTCAAATTCGCATGCTCTAACAATTTATTGTAATGCAATTTTTCAAAGTGAATAACAAAGACGAGAGTGGGTGTCACATCTTCAAAATAAAATAAAACAAAACACAATATAACACACAAATATTTAAAGCAAGATGCCTTATATAAATTTATAGGAATTGTTTTAATAGAGCTTACCGATATTTAAAACCTGGAATCTTGAGTGCGCAGAGGCTCAAGTGTCCGTCGCACTTGGGTACGCCTATTTTGAAGAAATATATAGAAAGCTCAGCCAAAGCAACTCGAATGTCATCACTTGATTCCACCTTGTCCCCTCAGAAGGAAGCGACAAAGACGACGACGAAGACAGACACGCCGCAGAATTTTTAGTTTGCTGCTCTACTGGCAGTAAATGGGTTAAAATTATGTACATTAATCACCGAATGAATGTCGAATCAGTTAAAAAGACTGCTATTTTTTATTGTAAGTACCAACGGCTACTGGTCAAGGCAACTAATGTGCGCTTTGTATACTTTTTCAATTCTATATGGGTTTGGCGAAGATTTGGTCCATAAGAAACAGTTTATTGTGTATGTATTTATTTCTCGCAACATGTATACCCTATATAATATATATCTCATCTGCAGTGCGAGATGAGTCAATATTGACATAACTAAGAGTCTGTTTATGTCTAATTTGCGGAACTGAGAGGAAACGATTTTATTAAATATATTAGATTTTATTTATGGTTGGCTTTACATAGAATAAAACTCCCTTTTTTTATTATTTTATTTATTGCAGTAATAGAACAACAACAATTACAGCCACTTATTGTGCAATTTTATAACAAGCAGAAGCGTTAGTTGTGTTTTTTTTAATCTTTTGATTTGGTTCCTCCTTCCTATTCACTCGTAACAGATTAGCTGGACAACAAAGGCACTTAACTTAGAAGAAGCCCTTATGTGAAGCACTCCAGCCCACTTCACTTGGCCAAGGCCCATTCAGGACAAGTCGCCACAGCTTCATTCATAAATATCAGGCATCATAAGTTGGCCAAGTTACGACAAGGTACTTTAGGCAACTTCCTAAACTACTTGTGCCCCACACAAAGCTACAAACAATTAGCCCTTAACATCGTAACTCTTCAACTGCACACAAACCCATTCCAACCTTATCAAAAACCTCTGGCGCACACACTGAAAACACATACACTTTCCCCTTCCACCTCCACCCGCCCCAATCTATAACAAATTTATGCTCATTGTTGTAACCTCGTTTCGTTTTAAAGTTCTTCAACAGCCATATGTAGGCTTTTCTCAAGTTTTCCCAAGCATATTTAACGCGATTGCTAGTTAGTGGGAGATACAGCAACGCTGAGGATGGCGCGGCAGAGGGTGCTGGCGGCCAAAACGCATTATTTAGTAATTATCGACAGAGTTCTAATAAATAAAATGAACGAATGCGACTACATACTCGTACGTCGCATGGCAAGAAACGTCGAGGGCCCCGCAACTAGCGTTTTGGTTTCTAAATATTTTTTTTTTTTTTGGGTTGATGAAATTATGAATGAAGATAAGGTGTGCCACACGGTTCTATAGCGTCGCAAAGTGTTTACGTGTGTGTGTGTGTTGGTAAGAGTTCGACTTGTTCTTGTTGTTGCGTCTTCTGCTCGTTACTTTGACAACTTTCTGCAATTCTTCATTGTATTCGTCTGCGAAATACCCAAGAGTTAATTAGTATGGGTATTGAGGGAGCGGACTTTAGCTTCGTATGCAGATGATTCTAACTTTGCGCTTCTCTTGCGCAGCATATCTGCTGTCAATTGCTCAAATGCTTAAAAGATTATAACGTCCACCGATCCCAAAGCATTTAATATTTAAAAAAAAACAAAGATTATGTAAAGAGTAATAGTAAGTAAGGGATTATCAATTATACGCCTATTTACATATATGGCAAATTGGAAACTATTGATCGTTTTCTATTTGGTATTTTATTTGCGAACTATACAGAAAGAGGTGGGAAATGTTTGGAAAATCAGGACTATTTTTAACTTCTATGGTTACTATTTCAACTCCTTAAAATCATATCTTCTTAACTGTCTGTGGAGATAAGGTATTAGGAGAAACATTTTATTGAAAAGTTTCACTCTAGCGCCTTATTTGGTTGCAACATTTTTAGATCGATGTATAACTGGTCGGATTATAAATGAAATCTCTTTTACTTGGGAAGTTGTTAAATATTATTTCCTTTTACGCAATACTTTTACATATTTCTTGACTTTTTTTTGTTTTGATGAGTACAAATTATTATTGATTATTTACTTATATTTATTTGTTAGTATACGTTTTAATATTATTTGAACCAACAAAACAATCCTAACAATCTTTAATGTCCTTGCCAAGCATTTTCATTTTAAATTCGAACAGAATTTATCTAAATCTTTTGAAGTCACATTATTATAATTATAGGATTGCTTAGTAGTGTTTCGTTTTGGCAACCTATTTTCTGGCAGAAAGTACTTGCTGGATCGGATATAGCGTTCAGCTTTTTAAATTTAAGCATTAAAAGTTGAAGCGTCAGCCGTTTTCCACCATGGCTTGTCTCAAATGGATCCTTGAGTTTCGCTACCATTTTTCTTTTTTATTTCGTGGTTCAAAGTCTATTGACTCTTTGTTTCGTTCTCCAGTACATGCTTTCATATGCTCCATATGCGAATGCGAGCGAATATATACGCGTATAATAGAAGGAAAAGCTGCGCAGTTGTTGCCCACAGAGAGAAACCTAATCTCGCCATATCCACATACACAATAGAATGCCAAAGTATCTTGGCCGATCGAGTATGCCTTTCCTATTTCGTCTGCACTTTGTTCTGCGGCTTACGCTAACCATAAACCACAACATGTGCTCTTTTTTATATCGCAACTAAATCTAGACGGGCAGCTAGTGTCTAAGCCCACTCACATGGTCGGTCCGTGTCTGATTTACAACCTGACCTGGCACAATAATAAAAAGTGCGCGGTGCGGCGTTACGCTCAACAATAAATTCATTAAATCAAAGGCGCGATTATTAATGAATGTAATAAAATATCAAAAAGACAACTAATCAAACATGATAAATTACCGAGCTACCGACATACACACGTACGCATGCGGCTGACAAAAACCTGGCGAGCCCCGAATCGTACACCGAATCGTGCCCCGGATTGGGCGCTACATCAGTCATAAAAAGGCACAAGTAACAATGACAGCAACAATAATAATAACAACAACAACAACAAGACCAATATGTTTTTGTTGTTTTTGTGGTCTGTCGGTTTTTGTCTGTCTTGACAAGATGTAAACATTGGTATGCAATTTAGGCCTGTGGCTGTGGTTGTATCTGTTAGATACAAAATTGATAGCACTCCTGCGATAGCACTGATAAGAAAACTGATCGATTTGTATCTAACTCTGTTGTTGTTTTTCTCCATATTTTGCCTTCCAGGTGGTGATTTCAGGTGCATTATGTACAGTAGAAGATTACGTAATAATGTCACAGTGTGCACACAACAAAGCCATACACCTAGCTGCGGAAGGAACAGTTTCAGTGACAGACATTTCACAGATACGTAAGTACCATAAATTAGTTACTTAACGATCACAAAGTCCAATACATCAACACAAACAAATACAGAAGCAGCAAATGCAGCAACAATTGCCGCTCCGCCCAGCCCGTCTGCCTCAAGTGGCAAGATTTGTTTATAGTACGAGTATATTGACACGTCTGCAGGAAATGTGTGTATGTCGAACAATAACAACAACAACAATAAAACTGTCTCGCGATGAGTTCATTTTCATGACAATTAAGACTCAAAATAAAATGCCATCAGATTTCTTTAAAAAAAAATCTTCTGATGTTCTTTTATATATTTTCTACTAATCTTTAATATAGTTGCGTATGTCGAGCGGTCTTCAGCTTTATTTGTTGAATCCTCTTGGTTAGTTAATTGGTGCTTGTTAAGCATAAGTTTCGCCAAGATTTTCAGTTTAGCCTATAACTCCTGATCTTTTTTTCGGTCAATTTGTAATTTTTTAGGCTATTGCCACTTAGATATATCAAATCTAACGTTACTTCAAAAATGTTATGGTACAAATATGGTTCAGAATATTCTAAGCCCTAATTTCAGTTACCAGTTCTGATCTGCATTCTGACTAAATTATTCACGAAATATGTTGATCATTTTTACGTTCGATGGAGGATCGGCTTGGACAAGAATTGGAATGATGAAGGATTAAAATATATTTTGAAATTCCTTTATGGCTGTAGATTTATAAAGTTTCAAAGTAATAACAATTTTTACACATTCTTGTTATGTTTCTTATTAAGATTCTAAAAACAAAATATGTTTATTCAGTCAAATATCCAATAGCTTGTGTTTTTCAGTTTTCCATTTAAGTATCTTTAAAACTATGTATTAAAGATAAACAAAAGCTGCTGCCTATTCCCAGTTTTTTGGGCTTAGCTGCTGCCTTAAATACAGCAAATTATGGGAAATACCCAGAGAAAGGCGCAAACAAGTGAGGGCGGCGTAAAACCCAGGCTCTAATGCCTAAGCTGAGGTTCCTTAACTTGGAAAATCCCGGACGTATATTATTCATAAACGAACTGACGAATGAATGAAAACGAAAATGAAAACACACACACACACATACACATACACATAAGAACTGAATCTTTTTGGGAACTAAGTAGGCGTGTAAATTGACAAAAGGACTTTTGGCACATTAGCGTTAAGTGCGTGGCCTACACGATGCGAAATCCTTACAGGCCAACAGCTGGAAATGTTCACATTTTGCACCTGTTGTGTTGGCCAGAATTTGTCTGCTGCTTGAAAATGTGCGAAAAAGACGAAAAACACAGAGGGAAATGAGAAATCAATGGAAACGAGTCCTGCAGTCATAGCTCGTGCTGCGTCCTGCTTCGAGGGTGCGGGCAGCGGCAGCGGCAGCTGCAACAGCTCTAATTAGCCATGGTCGATGTTGTTGGAGTGCGGTTGGTGTTGTTGTTGTTTTTGCTGTTGTTGTCGAGCCTTATGCTGCCGGACGATCACACTGTCCGTTTATACTTGTAGTCCCTGCCCCGTGCCGCCGAAATTGAAGTGAAAGTTGCACATGAAGCGTAACGAATCTTTTTTGTTTTAGTTTTTTGTTCTTTTTTGGCAATAAATTATGCATTTTATGTGAACAAAGCGGCAAAAATTATGTAAAAAAGAGATAGAAGTGCACTATGGGTTTACAAAGCTCCTAGTTCAAATAGTAAAATGACCAAATACTTGTAAATATGTATATTGTAGAATAATACAGAAAAGGTAAACATTTGACTGATTTCGGACATGTCTATATCTATTGCTTTAGTTGAGTACATATATATGTACATAATATGTATGTACTACATATGTGTCTATAATATTGCATTCACACTTTCCAGTTTATCTAATTAGTTCTACTAAAATACAATTCCAAGCCGCAATTGGAACTTATGGATCTACTTTTTAAAAATCACGATTTTTTATCACCAAAAGTGAATTGTTCCCCTGTTAGAGGTATTAGAGAACAGCTCTTCGTTGATAAATAAATAAATAAATACATACACACTCACAAAAAATCAAATATTTCGGCTAATAAGAAAGTGATTGTTCTGCACGCAGAACACAAACAAAATCATAAATCGAAGTACTTTTTTGTAAGTCAACTAAACTAAAAATAAACCACTTTAGATATCCTTTGGAAGCTGGTTGAGTCATATTAAAAAGTCCGATAAAGCCGAAGCGGTTCAAAAAGAAGTTACAAATTTGTTTGTTATTATAGGTTGTTTGCATTTTAAAAAGAGAATATATGGTTTTGAATGCCACTTTGTTTATGATTTTACCAGAAACATACAAAAAATTACAGAAATTCGCTAAGTATGTATTGTAGATTGAACTACAATCTGTTAATAATTCTAGGTCATCAAACAAAATTCATTGCTTAATAATGATAAGATGTTCAGTATGCGAATTGAAATATCTCCAAATATGTTAGTCCTGACAAAAGACAAGATATTAGATCTCAATACAAAAAATGTGTTTTGTTTAAAGCCGAACATTAATATTTGGACATACTATTTCACACTCAATTGTGACTTCAAATTTCTTCCATATATTCCCTCGTGTTGAATGCCCTGCACCTCCATCTTCCCACATCTGAATTCCTTTTACTAACAAATATTCCAAATTAGCAACCATTTTGCATTTCGGTAAAATGAAATAGTTTCTTAATGAACATCTGTTTATAAGTTTACGAATTTAATTGTATTTGTGAGTGTATCTGTACAGGCTTTCATTTAGAGGCCCGCATATCACAACCCAGCCAAATCGGTCGTGGCATCATCATAAAATCCAAACATTTGCACACACTTAAGCACGCTTCCTAAGCCTGCTAATGAATTTTGACATTTCAATCAATTTGGCGCCCAAACACTTTCACCACCCCTGCAACCAGCCGGTTGAGGGAACCACCACAAGAGGTAGAACCAAACGACCACTTTCTAGCATTTGATTAGACAAATCCCTGAAAACCAGCAGCCAACAGGCAACCACACGACAATAAATCACATGATTTAATGTGAGTCTAAAGCGAAATATGCGGCCGGCTGCCGGGGCAGATCCGTTCGATTCCGCTCGAGAGGCGAAATTGTGGAGGTCGTGGTATGCGCCCTACCCTTTCATTCGGAGCTGCACTAGCCATAAAACATTTTATAGCTCATCATGTGCGGTCATAAATTAGGAATGCAATCATTTTGTACCGGTTGGCTGAAACTTTTCGTGTCGCCGTGTCCAGGGCGTTGCCCAATCAACACCTCGCCCTATCGACAGCAACGACCGGCGGTTCTGGTGGATGTGGCGGTTCTAGAGTTTTTGGCCTTTCTAGCCTTTGCGGCATTTCTGGCGGCGCTTGTGTAACAAGTTCCAAGCTGTTAATTTCTTAATCAAATACTCGCTCTCTTGGTCCCAGGGCAGACATACAAGTACGTCTGCATATGCCGCATGAACTGCAATTGTTTTATGTTGGAGATTTTGGCTTCAACAATGCGATAAGTCCCATTCGATGTTTGTCCAGTAGTTCATTCAAAGTGTTAGGTCAAATTTTTAAACTGATGTGTACTTTTCTAACCTTCTATAAATGCGCTTCGGGCACAAAAAGCTTTAAGAAGCGGCGAACAAATGAGCTGGGAATAGTTAATAATGAAGTCCATAATTATTTAAATAGAATAGGAAATATCAGTACGTTTAATGATTATTTAACTTAAATGTATACTTATTGAGATTATTGCAGAACCGAACTAACCATAGGTAGCATTAGAATGGTTAATAGTATTATAATTGTTCACATTCTAAAATAATTCTCTGCTTAAGTGATATGTAACTTAAACAGATATAATCAGAACTATAATTAAGCTCGAAATTCATGAAATTAGGAGGGCTTTTTTTGGCATACATTTGCTTTAAGAACTAATCGATTAGGGCGAACTTTTGGTAATATTCGTTCAGTAATTACCACCATAATCACAGAATTGGGGCCTGACACAGCTCAAGGAGCTAACAGGAATCCCACAATGTGATTTCTTTCCTAAGTATATGACTCGGTACCCAGAGAAACAAAAATAAAGAAAAAGAGCGAACTGTATGCTGCACTTTGTAAGTTGTAAAAAGATTAAATAATAGATTGCTTGGGTCAAAATTAGTTTATGTAGCTTTTGAAATGTGGACAGTGTTGACGAAACTCTTGTGTAGATCGATTTCTCTTGTGATGCTGATTAAGAATATATAAACATCGGAGATGCCTCCTTCTGCCTGTTACATACTTTCCACAAACCTAATATACCCTTTTTACCTCACGGGTCCAGGGTATACAAGCTACTATCAGCAATAAAGATTCTATAAAAGTGGTCGCACATCTAAAAATGTCAAAGTGTTGTTAAATAAATAATCATAGAATTACAACAATAGTACAATATTTTGATATCTTCTTCGCTGAATACTTCGTTTATGCAGTCAAGAGTCACATCTTCTATATCATTATTATGTCGCCCACATACGGGTGCAAACTATGTTATAACGGCCAAGAATTTAGCAATAAACTCATAGAATTACATATGATGAACATTGAAGATTTTGGCCCTTTCCAGTTAGACAGGATAGGTGCTAATAATGTGGGAAATATTTAGCACCATCATTACAAACATCATTAAAATTTAAATAGATGTATTTAGCATGAAAACCCCGAAAATGTGAGACGTCGTCATTGTTGTTGTTGTTGTTGTTGTCGTTCAACAGCAGACAACAAATAGTTGAAAGTTCGAAGGCAAGCAGAAAGGAAATCATGCCGTGAAAATTCCAAGAAATAGCACATAGGCATGCCATGTACAATCATAGTATAGCCATAGATATAGGCATGGGCATAGGCATAGGCCTTGCGCAGTATGCAGCCAGTGTCGGTCAGTTGGTAGTCATTGAACCTGCCCTGTGCACCGCGCAGATTCATCAATTAACGCCCCGGCAGAGACAGGCGGTATTGTGGAGAGTGGTCT